ATTTCCTCTTATAAGCTTACTCATAAGACGAAACAAAAAAAAACAATTGTTCCCACAGACAGGTTCCATGTGAACCTAAGTGGCAATCGTTTTTTTATTTGCACACTCTTATGCTTTTCAATATTCAATGTAATACTTCTAAGAAGATTTGGCAAATAAATATTATTATTATTATTATTATTATTAAATATCGATCTTTATTAGAACACCAGGAACCTCGTGAAGTGTAGGTACCTTAATTCACAAAAAAGTTTCATCATCTTCCATACAAGACATAGACTAATCAATAACCTCAGATTGTAACAGGAAACATAGAGTTTTTTTGCGTTATTAAAATTGAAAATGTATTTCCAGATATATAAATATCCATGAAACACTTTTATATGAAACCCATATCATGGAAGTGCATTGAAAATATCTAGTCTGCCATATTGGATTAAGAGTGATGTCATGTTATTTTTCGTATTCTCTTCACCAAACCCTTTCGTTTGGTACCCTTATTATGAGGAGGCGCCATCTCGGTCGGTCCGCCATAATGGATTTACAATTACGTTACTTTGCTTATTGTGTTTCGCTCAACAAGCTATTGCTATTCCCATGGTAACCCATATCATAAGGGTTACCATGGGAATAATCAATCGCCTTTTTATAACGCCCGCTATATTGAATTAAAAATGGCGTCATTTAGGTAATCGTGCATTGCATTGTCAAACGTTTCTCTATGTCAAATTTCAGGTCAATTGGATACTGGAAAGTGGATCAAATTTAACGTATAAGATTTGGTTGCAGACACCGGGACAGATAAAATTGAATGAAAACTTCCATAACACATCTCATAACACTTCCAGCATTTACTTGAATGATACGTAAAAGTTTGTGAGTTGAATTTCGAATCATTGAAATAATTCATAAAAGTGGAGATAATTCCAATATCAAGAAATACAGACCAATTTCATTATCTCCAAGGTTGACCAGAAAATTCGAAATAATATTGAAAATATGAACTGAAAATTACATAAAGAAACAAAGAGATCATCCAAATTTCAGTTTTATTTAAAAAAAAACCGTTTAATTCATGTGAAGTATTTTTCATTCGAATTAGCAGTAGAAACAACAGAATGTGGAATGATAATACACAATAATCAAATGATTGTCTTTGAAAATTTGTACCCATATACTTTTAAACGCCAATTTCAGTGAGAACCGTCCTAATTTTTGAAAGTTCAAAACTACGAAACGCTGTGTAGAATATTTTTTCATCTATTTTCAATCCATAATTGAAAATTCCACCTCTCAATGTTCAATGACTCGAATATTTGTACGAGCAAATACACAAATTGCATTAATTAGTTTGGATATTATGTTGCAAAAAACACTCACTTGGAATTTGACCATGATTGAAGTGAACAAGCTATTACATATTTTATGTTAATATTTTCCTTATTCACAAACAGATTGCAGTTTTACTCGATGTCTCCAATCCAACACTTTAAAATCGGCGTTTTGGCACCCGGATATTCCTGAGAACTTTGATTCATCTATGTAGTAATCTATTTGACTCTGGATGAATTCGAATGATGTAATTGACTTTGACTCGTTTTGCAAGCCATGCAAGAAGAATCACTTTCCGCATCCAATAAAAGTAAATGGATGGATTTACCATATCGTTTAGAAAGGTATTGACATTTTTTTCAATCATTTTTAATATCAAACTAAATTGATCCATATTCTAAATATAGAAAAATAACGAAATGAGAACATGATTAATGTTTACCTCTATGACGATAACAACGATGATGTTTGCTATCCCACATATTTTTCTTCCTACAAAATGATTTTTTTAGTTTTTCATTACGATGTCCCACCTGTTTGTCCAAAATATTATCGATGCAGTTGAAAGACAGTTTTAAAAATTGTTCATTTGGGAGGATTTTAAAATTTTGAGTCATCAATTTTTCGTTAATGTCAATATTTTTGGATTTTTAGTCAACTATTTCTGCATGTAGATCTAATATACAGTGAGGACGGAAAAAGTCCTTCCCTCCTCAACTTTTGAATGAAACAAGCTATCGAGGTCGGGTAAAATGGTACTACTTTTACTACTTTTTGGCATAGAAATGATTGTGGTCACGTGGCCTATGTCAAGAGGGCACCATCTACTTTTTTTAATGTAAACGCGGGCTCCTGGTTTTGAAGACCTTCCGAGTCAAAACCACACCGCTGTATTTGTGAAAATCGGCCAATCCGTTTCAAACTAATAAACGTGTGAAATTAGCTTCAAATATGTTACAAATAAATTAAAACCCTAGATAACTTTTAATTGCAACAAAATTTTAAGTAACAATTTCAACTATTTCAGCAAGTGCTCAAAATGCACGGTTCACTTCTTGAAAGAAAAAAGTCGGTTTTAGAATTCATTCCGAACGGTAATAAATGTTTCTGAGGTAATACTGTAACATAAATTTGTTATTCGGTCCATAAATTCATGGAGTAGTTGTAGCTGCGTAACGTACATCTTAGGTTTTATGTATCTCCACAGAAAAACTCCATAGGTGTCATATCAGGTGACCCAGCTGGCCATTCAATCGAACCACGACGGCCTATCCACCGTCCCGAAAAAATTTTGTTAAGCCATTCTCGGACAGGTCTGTTGTACTGAGGGGGGCACCATTTTGTTGAAAGGTAACATCCACGGTAAATTCATTTGGGTTTGCCCCAATTACTTCTTGAATACTGTGTTTTGAAGCATATTTGAATATAGAAGCCCAGTTGAATATTCTGCCATAAATATTGCCCCTATGATATGGTCACCCAAAATACCAGTCCATACGTTGATCTTCTCTGGAGTTTGAGTATGGCCCTATCGAAAAACGTGCGGATTTACGTCTGACCAATAACGCACATTCTGTCTATTTACTGTTTCATTGAGAAAAAAAGTACAAAAAGAGATAATAGAGATAATGTAACCGGGTTATGCGGTCAGAAATGACCACAAAACTGTAGTCTTCTATCCGGGCCGTCTTCTGTTAACTGATGCAGAATTTTCAATTTATATTAGCAAAATTTGTGTTTTT